TGAAAATTCGACTCCGGCACCTCACCAAACTTCTCCCAGGAACCAGCTTTCGCTACCGCGTTGCGCGTTTTTTCGTACTGCATGCGAGTTGAAGGTTCTTTGATTCAGCCATTTCTTGAATGCAGCCTTCTTCTCTTTCTCTGCCAGCCTTCAGCTTTCTCTGCCTCTCTTGTCTACCAGAAAGTTGTTTCTGATCCTCAACTGACAAGCAACATGTTTTATACCCTAGCATTGGGCAGCAGCTTCAAAGCTCAGAGCTGTGAACCTGTTTTAAAAAAACTTCCATTCAGTTTCCAGTTCAGCCGTAGTTATTGGGATCTGTTCAATCTGTCGTGCGATGTTGTTTTCAAGTTTCGCTTTCGTATCCGCCGAAGATAATGTTTCCCTTTTCATTCTCTGGCTGCTTCTGCCACCAGATCTTCGCATGGTACTCCATTTCTTACAGCGTAACTTGCCAATAGCAAGGCATTGATCGTTTGCCAGCTCTGAGCCTCTCTTAGCTTGAACATGCATTGCATAGCGTCATAGGTCAGACGATACCATTAATAGGACGGCCATTATCTTCTTCTTTGCATATGATTCCCTATACCGGGTATACTTATGCTCGAAGAAGATGCTCATATTGGAGTCTGTTGTTTGCAGGAAACCGCACCAACTTCGTTCGATTACGGTTGATGTCGGTGAGGCGGTTTTTTTTCCAATCACGCCTTTCCACTTTTCAGTGTCTGCCCCAACAGGCTTATTAAAAGCGCCCTTTAGAATAAAGAACTCCGTAGTCGGCACTTCGTACACAGCACATTCCACTTCCTTAAGGAAAGACTTATTCTGCCTCTGAATTAGATGCAACCTGTAATAAAGACAAGGCTTAGCCTGTTTTAACTTCTGTCAGAGAACTGCCACTGTTTCGCTAACTGGTTTCAATTCACTGATCGATCTTGTGTCGCTTTGAAGCGCCTTTGGCAAATTGCAGCTCTTACCTGAGTCTGAAAATGCTGAACCCTCATTTCAGGCGCTTCGTTCATGGAAAACCGCAACGGAGTTTGTTTCGCACCTTAATTTAGCATACGAATTAGCAGCTTGGAAAAGCATATTGTGCTGCCGATGAAAGTATTCGAACGAACGGAAGAGCCACATGTTTGAAACGTTCTTTTCAGAGTTGGTTGAACTTTGTTTTGCTGGTGTATGTTTGTCTATTGATGTGTTTTTGTGTTATGTCATTCTTGCCAACAGTTTCATATATCACTTTGTAGGTGACGATGATTGCGATGAGAGTGGTGCAGCGGATGAAGCGAGATTGGATGGGTTTCGGTCGTCGACCAACGGGACTTTGCGGAGCCGCTCTTCTGGTTGCCGCTCGATTTTGCGGCTTTTACAGGTGAATTGAAATTTTTTAAACGTTCACTTTTTTGTAAAACGCTTTTTTTCCTTTCACCGTATGATTTTGAGGCAAGTATTTCAATTAATTTCCAAAGTACTGTTTCAAATCGTTATATAACGACTCTTAGGCTCTGCTCTCCATAATTCAACCACAGACTGCTCGCCGCATAGCGTTGTTAGCGGCTAACGTCGGTTGGTCTCTTAGCGAGACTACAGTTACTGATATCGATGCTGCCTTATATTTTATACATTGAGACAGTTTTACGTAGGCGAAGACCACTATAGCTACGAATTTTTACAGAAGGATTGCTTCTACTGTAAAAGAACTGATTACAGTATAAACTAAGTAATAAAATATATATGATCGAGCATTGCAAATTATAAAAATTGTGTGAATTTTAGATAGGAATGTAAATCAAAATAACTTAAACCTGTTACATCTTGACTATGTTTAATTTCATTTGGTTAATTATATTGTAATGCAGAAAGTCTGACGATTCAGACGGTACTTGATCCGTCTTCAAAGATTGAAACCTTGTGAAGCAAGTAAATCTTCAATATATCATGGAATTTGCCATGCTGTGCCATACGTCAGAATAAATCCGTATTATAATACATAATGTTAAACCATTTCATAATAAATTTGTGCGATTTTGTGTTGCAGAGCATTTGTATACTTCAGCATAGAAGCTCTTGATGCTTCTTCATTTCTTTGAAGCTTATTTTGGGTCAATAGGTCGGTGGAAGATGTGGTGAAAGTAGTGAATATTGGTGCACCTGTGCTGAAACGACGAATGGACGAGTTTGCCATAACCCCTTCTGCCAAGCTGACCATGGACGAATTCAAGGTTGTCGATCTCGAAGAAGAATGTGATCCGCCATCATTCACGGCAGCAAAACTGAAGGTAACGTTTACTTCTTAAGTTTTTACATCCCCTTTCATGCATTTCTGGTGCACTTGAAACTCAGTCCAAGCGAATGGGACAAATGAAATCTGACGGTAGTTATACTCTACAGCTTTAGGGCATACGTCGTGACGGAAGATGAGTTAAGTTGGGTGAGCTGAGTGCAATACAGGGACGATTAAGTGGTTGTGCAGCGAATATTCCTGTCTTCGTAGAAAATGAATTCCATTTGTGATACTCAATTGTCGCAGTGCAGTCCCTTAAGAAATCAGGACAGGACGCCAGATTCTCAATCTTGCATTTACATGACGTCTTACATTCTTCA